AATGTACTGGTATCTTTTTTCCGCCAGCCCAAGTGGCAAAAGGTGCCTGGCAAATGGATACTGCCTGGCCAACTTGATACTGTCATTGCAGCCACTAAAAGATCTGATTCGAAAACTCAAACGTGCCGACTTACTAGTATTGGGCTTTCTTTTTTGTACTGGTGTCTTTTTTACGCCAGCCCAAGTGGCAAATGCTAACTGCTGGCAAATGGATACTGCCTGGCCAATTTGATACTGTCTTTGCAGCCACTAAAAGATCTGATTAGAAAACTGAAAAGTGCCGACTTATTGGCCTTTCTTTTTGGACTGGTATCTTTTTTACGCCAGCCCAAGTAGCAAATGCTAACTACTGGCAAATGGATACTGCCTGGCCAATTTGATACTGTCCTTGCAGCCACTAAAAGATCTGATTAGAAAACTGAACGTGCCGACTTATTGGCCTTTCTTTTTGGACTGGTGTCTTTTTTTACGCCAGCCCAAGTAGCAAATGCTAACTGCTGGCAAATGGATACGGCCTGGCCAATTTGATACTGTCCTTGCAGCCACTAAAAGATCTGATTCGAAAACTCAAACGTGCCGACTTACTAGTATTGGGCTTTCTTTTTTGTACTGGTGTCTTTTTTTTCGCCAGCCTAAAGTGGCAAAAGGTAACTGCCTGGCAAATTGATACTGCCTGGCCGATTTGATACTGTCTTTGCAGCCACTAAAAGATCTGATTAGAAAATACTGAAACGTGCCGACTGTCACACCCCTTGCCTGTCTACTGTTCATCGGTATGGACTCGGTAAAGAAAATGCACTTGTAAAAAAAAATCCTGTCAAATTATCGCCCCCTGGACTCACTGATTGCTGGCAGGTTAAGGACACTTTATGTAACACGGCAAGTGACTTCCCAGTGGACATATACATCGGAACTAAATTTAGACATCTGGTGCATTTGGCTCACATATGAAGCTTTCTCCTCAGTCCCGTCCTGAAACTACATGTACTCTTCTCATATCTGTAGGTTCTGTCGTCTGGTGGCATTCTTTCCTGTATAGGTTTGCATATTGCAGTGATACATAGCTGCAAACATTTTGATTGTTAACATCTTGCAATGTTAACGATGCTTCTGGGTGATCCGTCATTGACGAATAGCATGATAAATATTTGTTACATCCTCTTGTATGACAGCTTGAAAGTTCATCTGAAAGTTCATCTGTGTTGGTAGAAATCATCATGAAACAAGGTTAAACCGTAACGTTAATTTCCAACACAAGAAGCTGGACTTACCCAGCAAATTTTCGACTGTACAACTCTAGTCTTTGTCAAGGAATGAGCAATGTGCTTGTATAATGTTTGTCTCCTCTACATCAAAGGCTATGAATTGTTCTAACATCGCCATAGTCAGTGGCAGTTTACTCCAGCTGTTAAAGCTCAGACACGCCATTCAGATCACTTATAAAAGGTATCTAACTGATGAATACCTACTCAAAAGCGGTCTCGTCTGGACTTCCGACTTCCAAGATGTGGATTTCCAGCAAAAAAGCCTTTCCAACTGGCGGATCGACAAATATTTACAGAACGTTCGCAATGTGCAGTGCAAAAAGCATCACATGCGCCAAATGTGTTTTAGTTGCATAAAGACTCTGTCAAAGCCTTTATCCGCTTAGCCCTTGTTGTTTTCGCTGTTGGTTCTTTGTAGATTGTTGGAGCGATTCATGCGTTGCCCACGGTCAAAGACAGCGAGCTTTTACTAGTACTTTCCCCTAGCATGTGGCAACCACCTGTTACAACATTGTGCAGTTGTCAGCCGGCAACCGATCTCCTTTCTGCAACGAGAATCAAAGCTCAGAACACGTTATCTTAAGTCCATAACCAAGCGTTACCAGTAAATCTGACAGAAAGGTTTTCAGGGTCCGTGGACCGGAAAACACTTCGTGATTCGAATCGCCACCTGAAAACCGATCCTGAATGGCGATTATCCCCACTTAATATACTTAATTAAAACTGTAGTTAATGAATGAAGACCACAATAAGGCTGCAATAGCTTGTAATTTATTGTCCATCCACCTGCTTTCTGGTTATCGTTGCTTGATATCGTTCTTTTTTTTTTCAAAGAAAACACGCCGGCCCCCCACTAGGGTTGTATGGACTACTTGTAACTCCAATTTTAGCAATTTGTGAGAATTACCCCCAATATACAGGCCCGAAGCGTGGTACAATAATGCTTGAGGCTGTTTGTATGGCAGATGTAAAGCTTCAAGTGGTATAACCGATCGGGTGCACGTAAGGACAAGGTGTGGAACTGTTTCGATGACGTCTGAAATTTGCATTGCAACTGGCTTGTCTGCTTACGGAGCATAATAAAGTTACCTAATAGATTGCAAATACAAAAGCAGTACCGATGTTGGTAGGTGCATACACATGTAGTAACACTTTCAGCTTGCAATTTTGTATCTAATAGGCACTGTGTTTTAGTCAATGTTAGGGCAAGAATAAACTAGAGGTCGGAGATCTCATGTCTTCGTCAGAGGTACATCGTTCTAGAGAAATTAACATGCGTATTCTTCAATCTTTTTAATAATCAATTTGGTCTAAAGAACAAAAGAATCTCTGTACTATTTTTATGGTACAGAACACCCTGAAACGGTTTGCCGCAGATTATACAGATGCGTCGTCACCCGTGTTAGCC